AAAAAACAGTGTTGTTCAACCATGTCCATAGTCCGTTGGGTCATTTTCCGATGCGTCTGAATTGTGCTGGTGGAGGAGATGAACGTAGCCCAGGCTGCTGGGAGAACAAACGAAGCTGTCTCGGAGCGAGCACAGTCAGAGTGCTCCTTAGCAGCAGCGATGAGACTTCCTCTCTCATGCTTCGCACATGATATCAGGCCGGCCCAGCCCCTGGGAAAGGGCATCATGACTGGTAAAGTAGAGGGGCAGCAAAAGAGCAGGAAAGGAAGAAAGCGCATCCATGGGATGGATTGACCGGATGGCTGCAAGAATGGGCCCAAACATAACAGTGGTGAGCGCGTGCAAGACCAGGCAGTCTCACTCCCTCCTACAAGGGATCACCTTGGAGGGTTTTTGCAAGGTCAGATGATAGGAGGCAGGCCTCTGGGGATGAAGATGGGGTAGATGTGGTTCAGGAGGACTTGGTGGTCGCTAGCTGGTCGGCGTCCCAGCGAGTAGGGACAGTAGACAGTTATCATGCCTGAAGCACTCATGTAGGTGACATTTGATAGACCCGAGAAGGCCTCTCAGAGACAAAAGGGACCCAACCCCAAGACAGTGCCTTCTCTAAAGCCAGAGGTCAGGGACCTTGGAGGGCCAGACACGAGGCTGGCTTCTATTGTCAAAGCAGGTCTTCAATTCCTTGTTGGAAACAAAAAACAAAAGTTGCTTTGGTGAAAACATACACAACAAAGCATTTCCCAATGGACGGAGACAACCTGAGTGTCCGTCAGTGGAAGAGAGGATATTGACGGTGGTACATGCACACAGCGGAGCGCGACACACAATTAAAGAATAACACACATCACAGCTTAGACCAACCTGCTCACGCCCTGCCAGCGAATCAATACTGCCTCATAGCTCCTCTTGAGGACAAGACCAGAACTCTTTATGGGGGGAGAGAGCCCCATCTTTCTCCTGCAGAGCCAGTGGTGGTTTTGAACAATGGCTTTGTGGATCGCAGTCTAATTCGTCATCAGGGATCTACCCCTGGGGGTTCCTCCAAGGCTCAAAGTCTTTATGGGAGTAGAAAACCTCCTGTTTCTCCCTTGTAGGGGGGCTGGCTTTGAACTGCCAGCCTCGCCATTATCAGCCAAAGGTGTAACCCACCAGGACTCTTGGGGGAGGGGGGCATTATATTGAGTGGAATTAATTAATCACTGAAGGATGAATGTATGAGACCACTATTATAAAGAGTCAAGAAAAATAATTTCACACTAAAAGAAACAGCCCTTACCGGGAATGGGAGGAGAAGATACGGTGGGGAGATTCATGGGCTAAAAGGTAGACAAGTGTTAACTTATGCGCAGAGCAAGACAATATACAATAAGAGGTTGGCAACAAAGATGGTCGTGGAAGACACTGGGATGTTTGCAAAAGTTACAGGCAACAGAGGCAACGACTGCTATCTATACAATCCTGCAATAGTGATCTCTGAGTAGAAGCTTGGGTGGACACACGGACTGAACCATGTGGGTGGGAGAGGGAGTATATGTATAGGTGCGAGAGATGATGTCCCTGAACGTGGTGGAGCATATAGAGGCAAAGTTAGGAACACATCTTCTTGGACAGAACCCGGAGCAATGTGTCACTGGGCCTGGACTATAGTCTTGGGGGGCACATCAAGGTCAATTGACATAACATAATCCACGAGGAAGACCCTGTTCCACATCTCACTTCGGTGAGTGGGGACTGTGATCTTAATTGCTTATGAGCAGACATCTAAGGCAGGAAATGCTTCTCAAACTTCCTAATGCCACAACCCTTTAATACAGTTCCTCATGTTGTGGTGACCCCCCAACCATAAAATTATTTCAGTTGCTACTTCATAACTGTAATTTTGCTACTGTTATGAATCATTGGGCGACCCCCGTGAAAGGGTCTTCGACCCCCAAAGGGGTCACAACCCACAGGTTGAGAACCGCTTTGCCCATTTCTTGGTTGTGTTGTCTCTGGTGGTTGAGTGGGCATTTGCTTTGATGGCGCCACCTCAGTCGTTCCTGCATGTACTGAACGTGGACTGGGGCCAAAATTCCTGGAGCGAGAAAGTACAATCCCCGCTTTGCATCCACCTGCTTGCTCAGCCCAACCACCCCCATGTAGGCCAGCCAAGTGCCGGTCTCATCATCCCCTGAGTCCCAGGAAGGGGTGTGCGTGCTGTGATCTGTGTGGTGTGTATGATGTATGGAGTGTGTGATGTGTGGCGTGTGTCTGTGTGTGATGTGGTGTGGTGGATAGGGTGTGTATGGTGTGGTATGTGTATGGCGTTTGTGAAGCATGTGGTGAGCATGAGGTATGGATATGTGATGTGTGTGTGGTGTGTGGGTAGTGTATGGTGTCACTGTGTTGTGTTTTATGGGGTGTGGGTATGTGGTGTGTTTGGTTAATGGTGTGTGTATGTGGTGTATAGTGTGTGATGTGTAATGGGTGTGTAGTGTTGTGTTCTGGATTTGTGATGTCTGATGTGTGTGTGGTGTGGATAAGTGTGGTGTGTGGAGTATGTGGTGTGCATAGAGCATATATATGATGTATAGTGTGTGTGGTCTGTGGGATGCGTGTGGTATATGGGGTTTATGGTGCACATGTTGTATGATGTGTACATATGCAATGTGTACCAACCATGTGTGTAGTATGTGTCATGGTTTGTGGCTTCTGTGGGGTGCATATGCATGTGGTGTGAGAGGTGTGCGTGTGCTTGTGTGGTGTGTGGGGTGTGTGTGTAGAGTGTGTGTAGGTTTGTGTGGTGTGGTGTGTGTGGTATGTGGCTTGTGTGCGGTGTGAGTTTGTGTGGTGTATGTGGTGTGTGTGTGGTTTGGGTTAGGTATGCATGGTTTTATATGCTGTGAGCTGTGTGGGTGTGGGATTTCTGTGGTGTATGTAGTGTGTATGGAGGTTTGTGTGTGGTGGTGTGTCAGGGTGTGGGGTGTGTGTTTATGTGGTGTGTGTGTGTGTGTGTTTGGGTGGTTTATGTGGTGTGTTTGTGTGTGTGTGAATTTATATAGTTGGTTTTGGGTGGGGTGTGTATGGGTTTGTGTGGTGGGTGGGGTAGGTGTGGGTTAGCAGGGTGTGTGGGGTATGTGGTGTGAGTGGTTTGTGTGATCTGTGTGGTGTATGTGTGGGGTTTGTGAATTGTATGTGGTGGCTGTGTGCTTGTGTGTGTGATGGGGTAGAGAGCTGGGGCAGAGGGAGCCGGCTCTTTGGGTTGCTGTGGCGGCTGGGAGAGTTCTCAGGGAGGAGGTATCACAGTGGAAAGTGGGAAAAGTCCAGGGAGAGGGTAAGAGCAAGAGAGGGTCACAGTCCTCTAGGGAGATCCTTCCCTGAGGCTCTTACACTGGCTGGTGAAGTCATCAGAATGACACCCTCTTGCCAGGAGCCCTGGTGGTGTGGTGGTTATATGCACTGGGCTGTGATCCGCATGGTTGGCAGTTCGAAACCACCAGTAGAACGACTAGGCTTTCTACTCCCTTAAACAGTTGCAGCCTGGGAAACTCACAGGGCATCACTCTGAGTCAGCATGGACCTGATGGCAGTGAGCAGTGAGGTATGGCTGGCAGAGGAGCCCAGGTGGTGTAGTGGTTGTGCTAATTTGGTGGTGTAGTTGGGCTGCAAACTGGAAACTCAGCAGTTTGAGAGTACTAGTAGGAGTTCTTGTGCACAAAGATGGGCCTTTTGCCCCATTAAAGATTCATAGTCTCAGAAACCGCTGAGAGAGTTCTCTCTGTGTGAAAGGGTCAATTTGTTAGAATCCTCTGGATGGTGGCAAGTTTGATTGTCTGCAGACCCCTGGCGCCCTCTAAGTGCTATCGGGAAGAATTGCAGCATAAGGTATTCTTGGCGGGGATCTAGGTGGAAGATCACCGAGCCTTTCTTCCACAGTACTGCCTGTGTAGTTTCAAACCGCCAATCTTGAGGTTGGGAGCCTAGTGAAAACTGATTGCACCCTCTGGGGGCCTTACATGGAGTCGCTGTGAGCCGGAAATCCAGAAACTGGGGCAATGGATTTATTATTATTATTATTTTTAACTCCCTGCAGCTATCCCTGGACCAGTAATGGCTCCGCTCCTCCTGCGTGCACCTGTTTGGACACCTCCCGACTCTTCCACACCCAGCATGGTCCTCCTGAGCCTGGTTCTGGGATGAGGTCTTTGTGGGGGTGCTGTGCCCGCCCACCGTTTTCCCTCCCTCTTCCCTGTCTCCCTTTCTTCAAATCTGCGCTTGAACCCCTTCCTTTCCCAGGGCTGTCTGGCTCGCAGCAGCCGCCCTCCCCCAGCAGGAAGCGGGTTTCCGGGGTCTGAGAAAAGCCTCCGGGTTGTGAGAGGGGCCGAGCCCCTTGGGGACCTGGTGGAGGGGGCAGGGAGGCTGGCCAAGCGGTCGTGAAGGGAAAGAAAGGGACCAGGGCCACAGAGCAGCGGGATTGGTTGGCAAGGCCAGAGGACGCTTTGGTCCCACCCTCCAGTTGCTAAGGCCCAGCCTATCAGCGCCCAGAAGGGCTGGGTTGCAAGGTGGTTGGGGCGGGGACCTGGCAGGTGTGCGTGTTGGAGAGGGAGTAGTAAGGTAGAGGTGTGTGCTTCGGAGGAGACCCCCCCCTAGGACTTCCTCGAGGCTCCTCACTCCCGGCCTCTGGGTTCTTCGGGCGGTGGTTTGCAGACACAGGTCGCCCTCAGGCCTCGGGTCTGCAGCCCCTCCCTCCAGCGCGCTTCGCCCCCACCCTTCGGCGCGCCCCC